AAGAAAAACTATGCAGCTGTTAAGTATCGAGATGTCAGTCAATGACAAAAACCTGTTAATAACACTAGGAATCCTCACATGCGGGTGAGGTATTTTTATATTTTCCATTTAAAAATTTAGAGAATTATTGATGACATCATTCATGCAATCTATATTTTACATGGTTTCTTCACTAAAATATTACCATTGCATTATCATTATACTTTATAAAAACGTATATATTACGTATTATAGTGCATTTCCTTATTCTAATGCAACACATATCGATTGACATCTCTAATCTACATTACTGTCGCCACATCAGTGATTTTCAATCTTTAAAAAGAAAATAAAGGTGAAATCCTTTGTGGAATCTCCTCATTTCCTTTAAAACATGTTTTTCCTGCAACCATTTCTTTTTAGTTATGCTAAAACTAATAAACTAGTTGGTTCATCTCCATATTCGAGGTCCTAGAGTCCAGCTGTGTTTCACAAAAACTTCAAGACAATAAGTATTCCTCATATTATAGATCAATGAATATGTGTATCATAATATTATAAATATTTGTTTCCTGCAAAAACAGTTTTAGAAAAATCTAATTCACAAAATAATTTATTTTCCTGTAAAGTGTTCAACATTAATAACAGCAACCGCCAAAAAGCACACCTTCAGCTCCGTTGTAACGTTGAGCTCTTATGTGTTCAGAAGGTAAATTAAAAATCCACACGATAAAAAAACATGTAGAAGTTTAAATGAATAACGTGTTAGCACTCCAATTAAAACCTACTATATTTATATACAGACCACGAAAAGAGATCAAGAAAGCAAAAAGTTATATTAAAGTATTTTCTTCTGTAGAATAGTAAATATTATAGCATTTTAAATAGAAAACAAATTTATCAAAAGACCTAAAATAATTCTTGAATCAATACTGAAATGTAAGAATAAAAAATTTTCAAGATCTTACCCCAACTACTATGGGAGATAACGAGTAATCACTACTTGCAAACAAAACCACAATGACAGCAAGCAACAAATGTAAAGGTTTTGCTTCTGCAAAGTCCAACAACTGACAACAACCAACAACAAGAAATAGCACGTATGTACAGCACATTGAACTACTCAGCAAACACATTATGAGTATAAAAATCTACACTTATGTATCATGACAGAATGAGAATTTTAAAGACCACCTACCTTTGTCTTTCCGGAGCCAGTGGGTCCCACCAACATCAGCCCATGTCGCACTACCGTTGTCTCATACAGTTGTATCACCTTCCCAACGAACACTGGGAAATGCCACAAAAAATTTGTGAGCTCGTAAATTAATCTTCAAAATAGTTTTCTGTAACATTTTTTTATTCAGCCATTGGATTCTCTGAATCTCCAATTTTCTATTTTTAACTCTGCCTCATACGAATGTTTAAATCGGGGAAGATAACTTAATCACGTCTTATTGTAAATAAATACTAACAAATGGAAATAAAAGTAAGAGAAAAACTGGAATAAATAGACACGAATAAACGATCCCAATTGATTAGTCAATTTGGAGCAACGTGACACAAAGATAATCTTAAATTTCTACACATAAAATTATAGATTAAGATAAAAAACTACTATTAGATACGTACAAGGTACATCTTCCAAATTTTTCTTTGCAATGTCTTTTCGAATCGCTTCTTCCAAACTCCCGTAGTCTATTACTTCCTCTTTCATCCGTGGGAACAAATCAGAAACGATACCTGAAATCATATTTTAATCAGTAAAAGGAATAAAACTTAATCAGTCTGTTATAAGTCTGTTTTGGGATTTTTTATTTCCGAATGACTTAAATGAGACAAAATAATTTATTCATTAATTACTTGATGAACATAGAACATTTTCAGTCCTTTGAATTTCCATATTTTTTGATTTGACTTTATTTTAAATTTCCTGATTTTCTCAACAATTGTTTATGACATAATATTGTTACAATTTGTGTAATATAATTGTATATATTTCGTTTCTTATATCGAAAGGATCCTTACAAAAAGAACGTAGCCATTTGAAAGATAGTTTCTCTGACTCTATATACAGTATAAGTATGGTCTTTCCTTATACAGTATGAATGATGTTGGAGGAAAAACCCCACCCACAATATTATCAATATTCAGAATCAATCAATTATTTTACTGTTTTGGACTCAGAATAGGCTGCTATAGATCATTTTGTTTGTAATTTTCCGATTTTGTCGCAGCCTGCATATCTCTCCATGGCCACACGTTATACAGAACACTCGTAATTCGCACGACATTTCTATAAACACACAAATTACCTCTTTTCTCTGTTTACATCTACAAAAGGCTGTTTATTTCTTCGCACTACTTCGCAATACTTACAATCACTGTTAGAGCTTAAAGATAAATTGATAAGTAACTGCTGTGCAAGAACGAATGGTCTCTCAACAAAATGTCACTTCAGATCATATGTTCACCTAATAGAGGAGACATTGGTGATTTCACTTTCTCGCTACCGCTTGCGCAGTAGAAAGAAAGTTATGATGCTGCGCGAAAAACGGCAAAGTTTTAGCATAAAACCTCTTATTACAGAACCCTGGTAAAAAAGTGAATAAATTCATTTGCTAAATTTATTTAAAATATCCTCAAACTCGAATTGTAGCCAGAATCCATTTTAATGTGTCCTTGATACCTAAAAATCGACTGACGGCAAAACGTCTGTCCACAACGCTGGAGGCTAAACTATTCAGTCAATTTTCTCCAAAATTTACATTCACGTATCGATATAGCTGATGTCCGGTCTCCTTGAACATGAAACCGAAATTGGCTCTCACTATGGCAAAGGTGGTCAGCGACGCGAAGATTCCCAAATAACACTATGGTTTATGTACTCCTACACTATAATACTCAATAATACTCTATAATACTACACTATTATACTAATATAATTCGATACTATATGGAATTAAATTGACTATCTGATATTGTCTGTGATGTAATCGTAACGAGGATGAGTCTGCATTAGTTAATAAATGCATAGAAATTTGAGCATTTACTCATGTAGAGTTACGGGGTAATACGATGAGACCACTTTCGGGCGCGGACTTGCAACGCGCGAAAGAGTCCAGTGAACGTGAAAGATCGACGTGGGACAGGCGCGAAAGACGCGGCTCATGGGACCGAGGCGCCGCGCCGCCGATCGGCTGCGAGGCTCTGCTCTTCAGTTCGTTGTAGAATGACTCAGAGTGTGGCTCGCCCTTCAATAATTAAACATAAGTTTGGAAAATTTCTTTTGAGTAGCGAAAAACGCATCGTTCTGAACTTTCTCAATTCGTTATTGCATAAAAATCCGTTGATACCGGTGAAGCAAATCGCAGTGTTCACTGGACTATCCGTATCCAGCGTGTATTAACCATTGACAAGGGACAACTACAAACGCTAGGGAAGAAAAGAAAAGGGAAGAAATTTGTGATTGAAGCTTGACGATGACTTCATAGTCAGTGTATTTCAGTCGAAAGTACATTCCTTGCATCAAACGGGCAAAAGTGCAGAAACAAAACACCAACGCTTGTGAAATTGTTGCAGCTTGTGAATTGTAATCAAGATCTTCGGAACTTTAGGCCACTTCTTGAAGCATTTCTTGAAGCATACGTAAGTAAAGTAGTTGCATGAACATGTCATTTGCGTGGCAGCTCTTATTGAATTTGAATTAGTAGGGTATGTCACTCGCATCATCGAAAGTAGTGCGCTAGGAGGTGTCCAATCAGAGTAAGTTAATGGTTCGACTCCAGTCTCATTTAGCTATATTAAAATGTACACTTACCTTGAAACAATTTAAGATCGTCTTTCAAGAACTTCGGAACATTGACATCCCGAATAGCTCTAAGAATAATTTGCTTTTCGTCCATAGTGGGCCGTTCACGTTTCAAATTTCCTGCCACCGCAATGACAGTCTTCACGGCTCGCATTCCGAAATCATAATGATCCTATACATACAAATACCTTCTTCAGTAAAACACTCCATTTGCTGCTAATATTGAATTACAAGAGCAACATCTTACCTGAGTACTTAATTGTTCCGAACTCAGTTTGAATGTTGTGGTTATTTTGCCAGCTAAATCTCTCGCATCGGAGAAACCAAACGAAAACAACGAAATTTCAGCAATAAGAGCGTAGTTTGGGACCATCATTGCGACTGGTCGAAACAGAGCTTTCAGATTATCTGGAAGCTCAGTTCGTCCCGCGTAACCAGGATTCATCGTAATGAATACGGCACAGGACTGTTTTAAAACAATATCATCTCCTTCAAAAGTAAATCTGAAATAATTTCGTAAAAATTATCTGACTAGAACAAAATCTTAGAAAAACATACAATTCAAAAATAAATAATTCATGAAAAACGTCCCACGCATTTTAAAATATTTAAAATATTTTTTCACAGAGAATAATCCAATTATTTACCAAATTATCCTCTTGAGACGTTAGAATAAGATCAATCTCCTTGATACATGAAGACAGGATTCAATACAATTTTTAATTTAATTGTAGGATACTATTTACTAAAACACAATTTTTAAACACATGATTTGACAGCATTAAGTAAAAGCGCTTTAAGATTACATTGACAAGTAACATTCATAAAAATGGTAAATGAAGATTCCATACAATGGAAAAAAACTCTTCATTTCAGATAAGGACACTGCGTTCTGCGCGAGGACCATCTGCTGTTCTTAGGTGTCTGCTGGTTCCTCTCTCAAAGCGGTCTGGGCAAACAAGACGGAACAAAACGCTGCCTTACGAAAGATCTTTCGCGCTGCCCTGGGGAGTGATGGGGTTACGCGACGCTCGTCGCTAACTTGAGGCCAGGTAGCTATTCTAGTCTAGATGTTTTTCCACTAGGTGTCCGTTGTTTTCGCTCAGACAAGATAAAGGTGGAAGTGGGAACATGAATATAAAGTATGGGAGAGTTAGGAATTTCCTAGTCATTCAAAAGGTGTACCACATATGCAGAAACGCCTAGATAACTTTTTGAATTTCTTGAAAAGTGAAGAGATATTGCAGATGGTAAATACAGTTTGTAATTTTTCAACTGTTGTTTCATTTATCTCAGCATAGTAAAACAAACTTTTTGATGATCATCAAAAATGTAATTCGACAAATACGCATTATTTACTAACCTCTCTGCATGAGCTGCTTGTGCCTGTTGAATTGCTGTAATTTGTTGCGCAACCACAGACAGCACTTCGATGTCTATTCTGTTAAACTCGTCAAAACAAGCCCACGCTCCTGAACTGTAGTAATTAAAAATCAATTATCACACCAGGAATATTTTATTTATATCATATAAATTACAGTTAAATTTAGAGAACTTACCTCGCTAGTCCTTTAAAAAATTTCCCCATGTATATGACATCTAATTGATCCGAACAGTTGAACACTACGCACTGAATTGCCATCGCCTTAGCTAAATCCTGGAAAGCAGATAAACGATAAACGTCAAACTAAGTAACAAATAAAAACAATCAGTCCAAATAAATATTTTATAACGTCAATTTGGAAAACAATTCAGCCTTGGGACAATATACGGGGATAGTTTACGAACGGTCAAAATGCCGGTCATTTCATCGGCAGCCTCTTATCCTAAAAAACCAAATTATTTATTGTGTTTCCGTTGGGCGCGTTTGAGAATGTGATTCACATATTGCTTCAGATATCAGCGCATTGGACAGAAAAGCTTGTTTCATAGGCTTGTTTCAGAGGCGACGTGCTCCAAATGTGATAGGAACGAGCGAAGAATTAGGAGACTGGAAGCGGATTTGGCAAAAGCCCACAGTCATATTGGAGAACTGACGTTAAGAATCAGGGACTTACAAGACGTCAGCAAAGGAAAGGAGGAGCAAAATGTTCGCGTCCCACAAGAAAAAGATAAGAGGAACGAGCAGCCAAATAGGAGCGAGTCTCTTCAGCCAGGTGCGTCATATAGTAAGGTGAAGGTGCTAGGAGACTCGATGCTGCGGCACAGCGGCGGCGTTTTGAAAAAAAA